GGCAGCTCCACCGAAGGTCCCAATGGCAAAATTCGCATGCGGTTCCCCGCTCATGTCGGTACACCCCTCACACGCTTCGCGGCCGCATGTGGAGCTCCACCGAAGGTCCCAAAGGGCAAAGTTCGCATACGGTTCCCCGCCCATTTCGGAACACCCTTCACAAGTTTCGTGGCCCCATGGGATGCTCCACCGAAGGCCCCAGTGACACAGTCCACATGCGGGTCCCCGCCGATCTGGGCACACCCCTCACACGTTTCGTGGCTCCACCGACAGCGGTGCCCGCAACGCGGCACTCACAACTACATACGTTTGGGTCCTTCGCCAGGATACGTCAATCGAAATCAACAGGCAACGCGCTGATCCCAGCCTCCAGCACCATTCTGCCATCTTGTAGCTGTTGTTCAGTAAAGGTCAATGTCAAACTCGCTGGCCCCACCCGCTCGTAATTTTTTGACATTACGTTGGCCCCCCAGGTGAAGTCAATTGGAAATGAGCCGTCCCCAGCCTCCCACAAAATACGTTGATACTAGACTTGCCAACCAGATTTCAATATGAAACGCGCTGTTCCCAAGCCTCCCGCGAAATTATGTAATGTTGCGTTTGCTTCTGAATTCAAATTCAAAAAGACACCCGCCGATCGCAGACTCCCACCGAATGTTTAGAATTGGTGCTTGCTTGTCCGCCAGAGTTCAAGAAGAAATGCGCTGCCCCCAGCCTCGCGCACAGTTATGCTTAAAATATACGATTCAATGTGCCGATCGCAGCATCCCACACCATTGCTACATCTCTCATTTTCCCAAATGGGAATTCAATCGGAAACGCATAGATCCCAGCACCCAACTAAATTAATTACTTGCCAAATCCGCCGACCCTTTGGGGTTCATCGGCGTGTGAGATGTTCCCCCTCCCCAAACCCCTCCCCCGGGAGCCCGGTCCGGTCCATTTGGAGGGGGGGGGGGGTCCGGCCGGACGGCCCCGGGCGGCCGGGAACCCCCCAGAGGTCTCATCCGCTCCCGAAAATCGTGGAAAAAAACACGTGACAATCGTGTAGGGACGCGTCTGGTGGCTTCGAAATGGGTTTGGGACGCCCCACGAGCGCTCCAAGACGTCCAAGTTGGCCCGAAGATGGACCACGAGGCGTCCTCGACGGCAGAAGAGGTCCCCACGAGCCCCCCCGAGGGCCTCCGAGATGCGTTCCACAAGGGTCCCTAGACGCAAAAATTGGGCCATTCCCTTCGTGAAATGCTCCCCGACGGCCCAAGAGGCTCCCAAACCCGCTCCCAGACGGCCCCTGAAGCCTCGCAGAGGGTCCCCCACAGACCCCTAGAGGGCCCGAGATGGGCCAACAGGCGTCCAAGACGGCCCAAGAGGGCTCCGAAAACGGCCCCAAGAGCGTTCCAGCAACGCTCCGAACTGCCTCCACGAAGCTCCACATGGTCCCAGACGGTCCAAGAGCGATCAGAAACATCGACGACGACCTCCCGACGGCTCACGAGGCCTCCCCAGACGCCCCCACAGGCATCCAAGATTCCCCCCAAGAGGCCATTCAGACGCAAAACATCGCTCGTTTCTTTCGTAAAACGTATATATTTTCACACGTGCGCCTTTGGGGGTGTCCCCCGCTCCTGCACGGCCCCAAAGCCACCCAAACCCGCTCCCAGATGGCCCAAGACGCCTCCAAGAGGGTCCGTACATAGCCCTCGAAGGCCCCAAGACGGGCCAACTGACGTCCAATACGGCCCAGAAGGGCTCCGAAAACGGCCCCGAGAGCGCTCCAGGAGCGGTCCGAGCGGCCTCGAAGAGAGCTCCACATGGTCCTCGACGGTCCAAGAGCGATCCACAACGCTGACGACGGCCTCCAGACGGCTGAAGAGGCCCCCAAGACGCCCCAAGAGGCATCCACGATGCGCCCCAAGAGGGCCTCTAGACGCAAAAAAACCCTCGTTTCCTTCGTCAAACGTATATTGCTCCACACGTGCGCCTTTTGGGGTGCCCCCCGCTCCTGGACTGCCCCAGAGCCACCCAAACCCGCCCCCAGACGGCCCAAGACTGAAGAGGCCCCCAAGACGCCCCAAGAGGCTTTCACGATGCGCCCCTGGAGGGCCTCTAGCTGTATAAAATCGCCCGTTCTCTTCGTAAACCGTATATTTGTTCGCACGCGCGCCTTTTGGGGCGCCCCCTGCTCCGGGGCGGCCCGAGAGCCTCCCAAGACCGCACCATGACGGTCCAAGAAGCCTCCACGAGGGCCCCGCGACAGGCCAAGAGGGCGCCAAGACGGGTCCAGAGAGGCCGAGGACGGCCCAAGAGAGCCCCGAAGACGACGCGCGCGCGACTCGCGGTTAGATTCCTCGCAACTTGCGTTGCTTCCCGCCGCGCTCGTCACTTGCCTCCGCAGGGCGTTTCGGCGGGTCTCTCCGCGGCGCCCGTCCCGCCTTATAGCGCTTGGCGCAAACCACCAGAGCGCCTCGGTGGAAATAATTCTTCTTCTGGGCTATCAACAGATGGCCGCCGTCAATGAACGTAGGCTTTGATCCGTCTTTCTTCAGGGGACATGCGGAACATTCCAACTTATTCGCAACCTGCCTTTGCTCGTGGCACGCTCGGCACACCACCGAGCGATGCTCCGAGCCCATCGCGAAGCAGTGCTCCACCTGCTTATCTGTCAGATGCGTCCTGTCCGTGAATTCTCGCCCTTTCCCATCTGCTTCTTTCGGGCACGCGGAGCACGAGAGCACTCGCGGCCGATTGCGTTCTTCCTGGCACGCGCGGCACATGACTGGGCGATGGTTCGAACCCGTCGCGAGGAAGTGCTTCACTAGCGTATCAGTCAGATGCGTCCTGTCCGCGAAATCTCGCTCTTTTCCATCTGCTTCTTTCGGGCACGCGGAGCACGTCAGCACTCGCGGCCGATTGCGTTCTTCCTGGCACGCGCGGCACATGACTGGGCGATGGTCCGAACCCTTCGCGAAGAAATGCTTAATTTGCTTATCTGTTAGGTGCGTCCTGTCCGCGAATTCTCGCTCTTTTCCATATGCTTCTTTCGGGCACGCGGAGCACGTCAGCACTCGCGGCTGATTGCGTTCTTCCTGGCACGCGCGGCACATGACTGGGCGATGGTCCGAACCCTTCGCGAAGAAATGCTTCACTTGCTTATCTGTTAAGTGCGTCCTGTCCGTGAATTCTCGCTCTTTCCCATCTGTTTCTTTCGGGCACGCGGAGCACCTGAACACCCGCGATCGCGTGTAATGCGTGTCGCAGTCGCGGCATTTCACTGGCCTATGGGCTGCGCCCGTTTTATAATAGTGGTTCATTTGCTCTGTTGTCAGATGCGCCGCGTCCGTGAATTATCGCCCTCTTCCGTCTGTGTCTTTTGGGCACTCCGAACACCTCAGCAGTTGTTCCTGGCGCGCGCTTTGTCGAGCAGTGTTCGTTGCATTCATCCACTCCGTTTTCTTCTGCGATTGGCTCCACTTGTTCCATCCAAAGACGACCAAAGAGACTCCCAAGAGGCCTCCCAACCGGGCTTCAAGAAGCCAAACTAATTGATTTGCCTCAGCTTTGTAAAGTGTTGGGCCTTCTTGCCTCTTCGAATTTCCGACGGCACGAGCAGCCCAAACAGGCGCCCAAGACCGCACCAAGACGGCCAAAGAGAGCCCCAACAAGGCCGCAAGAGAGCCCGAACACAGGCCAAGAGCCGCCCAAAACGGCCCAAAAGAGACCCAAGACAGTCCGAACAAAGGCCTAAGACAGCCCAAGAGGCGGCCAAGACGGCCCAACAGAGCCCCACAACGCCACAGGAAGCACCAAGATGCCTCTAAGAGGCACCACGAGGCCACCAAGAGGCGCACACGAAGCCGAAAAATACACCTCTGAGTCACAAAATATGCTTCAAAACGAGCTCCCAAAGGCACCGACACCGACAACATGAGCGAAGGCGACGCGCTGCGAGCCCCCCCAAGGGGTCGGCGGTGTGGCGTGAGCCCAAGAATCAGAATTCGATCCGCCGGCCCCCTTGCGGGGCCATCAGGCTCCACGGATTAAGCTTGCTGCTCCATGCTCCAGTTCCAATTTCCAGTCTCCGATGTTACAATTGTGTGCCCCAAGGGCTCTCAACAGCGCCCCCAGACGCATCACGAGGGCCCCAACACGGCTCAAGAGACCCCCAGGACGGCCCAAGAGGACCCCGGCGCTCGCGGGGACCCCCGCCCTGCACGCGCCCGTCCACACCCTCCTCAGAAGGCTCTTCTTGGAAGGCGCCAGCCTTACATCTATTCAGAAGGCCCGCGACTTTTAAGAAACAGAGGTGCTTCTGAGAAGCCTCCTCCTCCTCCTCCCCCTCTTCCTCCTCCTCTTCCTCCTCCTCCTCCTCCTCCTCCTCCTCCTCCTCCTCCTCCTCCTCCTCCTCCTCCTCCTCCTCCCTCCTCCTCCTCCTCCTCCTCCTCCCTCCTCCTCCTCCTCCTCCTCCTCCTCCTCCTCCTCCTCCTCCTCCTCCTCCTCCTCCTCCTCCTCCTCCTCCTCCTCCTCTTCCTCCCTCCCCCAACTGCGCGTGGCTGCGCTCCGCGAACGGCCCGTGGCCCGAGACGCTGCCGACGGCGACCGCCCTGCTCCTCCCGGGGACACCGGAGAGGCACCCATACCGCCAATGATCCCCTGGACCTCTCCTGGGGTGCGCCCTGACCAGATTGTCAGGACGAACCCAGCGGCGGCGAACTCGAGGGCCTCCCGGGAGGCCCCGACAGAGGCGACAAAAGTCGAGGCAGGGGTGCAGCAGCAATTATCACTACCTCTTCCTCCTCCAAGCCTCCGCTCGCGAGGCCCACCTGATGGGCATGTTTTCCACCACGACCAACATAAGTTAGAGGGGAAGCGGGTCCTCCTCCTCCTACTCCTCTTCCTCCTCTTCGCCATCCACCTCCACCTCCTTCCCCCCTCCAACTTATGGTGGTGGTGGAAAGCAGGCCCATCACCACCGACGTCGGGGGGCCAGGCGGCAAGGGGGGCCTTTGAGGTCGTAGGCGAGGTGCACAGGGCGGGCGTTCTGCGTCACCTCGGCGCGCCGCCGCCGCCCTGCCGGGCAGGCGCCGCGAGCTGCGAGGGCCCCTCCTGCGCCACGGGCTCGGGGGCCTGCTCCAGACCCGCGGTGGGCGCTTGCTGGCCACGCTGATCGGGAAACGGCATGCTGTCAGACGACGACGACGACGACGAAGACGACGACGACGACGACGACGACGACGACGACGGCGACGACAACTGACCCCACGGGGGCGGCTGCGAAGCGACACCCAGCAACAGCTGTTCGGCCAGGCCAGGGCCTGCTCCCGCGCCGCGAGGCCCTCATCGACAGAGGCGTGCACGAGGGGGCGCGGGGCGGGGCCAGCAGTCGCGGCCAGAAGCCGTTTTCTCCTGTCGCTGCTTGGGGTACCCCCTGGGCTGGTCAGGACGAAGACTACTAGCCCCGGGTAAGGGGTCGGATAGGTCTGGGGGCCCGAGCCTCCAAAAAATCGCGACACCTGAATGGAGGAAAAACCAGCATGAGCACAAACGTTCGAGGGGCCGCGCGGCGTTTCTTTATCCGCATCGACGCGGTTCGGGGCCGGATCCGCGTCATGGCTGTTCTCGAGGCGGCCATCATAGCCACTTCACCATGGCAAATGAATTCATTGTCTTCACTGGTGTCATTCCATGCGCAGCATACTCTCCCCCTCCCTGGCGCAGGGAGCGCGCCAGGGGCAGCGCCTGAGGCGAACAGGGGGGTCCAAGGCGAATCCAAGAAATCCGCGCAGAAAATCTAAAGTTTACGTATGCTTATGGCGTTTTCCGTCTTCGAAGGATTTCTGGGGACGTGGGCGGAGCCGAAAAAGAAGCACTCAAACACTGGACGAGCACAACGTTTCCCAGCAGCAGCGCCGCCAGGAAATGGGGCCAATCTCCACAGGAGAGGGTCACTCGGCAAGCGACCACCGAGTGCGGCCCAAACATGCGATGTCCTCATGTTTCAATACCGGGTCCCCGAAGTCCCGACCCATTACCCAGGGTCAGCATTTCATACCGAGTCGTTGTCTGACGGCCCCGAGGCCCGGCGAGGGCCCCCAGAGGCCGAAAACTGACGAAAACCTTCTGTCGTTATTCTTGTCACGACGCGAGCATGTCTGGATACGGCCTATCGCCCAGAGCGCGGCTGCTCAGCCCGCGGCGCGAATCTGGTCGGGTGATCTCGGAAGGTCTAAGCACACCGCCGAGGCCATCACGGCAAAAAGGAGATCGAACTCCTCCGGCGGGGCAATGGAAATTAAAAGTGGCACCTGTACTTGTGGCCCCAGGGAGGGGAGGGAGGGAGGGATGGAGGAAGAAAGGGAGGAGGGAGAAGAGAGGAGGGAGCAGGGAGAATGAGGCAACCCCTGGGAGATCTTTGCAACAACGATAAGGGGTTATCTTTGCAACAACGATTACGGGCTATTGAACCAAGTTAGGCAGGATAAGCTGAATTAAGCCGAATTAAAGAGGCTTTAACCAAATTAGTCGGGAGCATTCCGGATCACATCGGATTTCCAATACGATTTCCACCAGCCCTCTGGGCGTGGGTTGTTTAGGGCGTTTCCTCTTTCAACCCCCTTCTTCCCTGTGAGGAGGGGGGGACCCCATCCACATACCCCCTCCCCTGGACCTGGACGGAGCACCCCACAAGGGCTGTAATTTACTACCCCCCCTTCTTTGATCGATCTCATGGAAGAAGGCCCCCAGATGGCCCCAAAGGCTCCCAAGAGGGCCCCAAGCCCAAGAGGCTCCCCCAAGGCACCCAAGACGCTCCAAGAGCCCCCCGAGACCGCCAAGAGGCCCCCAAAAAGCCCCAAGAGGACTCCGAGAAACTCTTAAGAGACATCTGAAGAGACCCCGATAGACTTCCAAGAGGCATCTGGCCTTTCTGCTCGCCATCCTCCTCCTCCTCCTCCTCCTCCTCCTCCTCCTCCTCCTCCTCCTCCTCCTCCTCCGCCTGCTCCTCCTCCTCCTCCTCCTCCTCCTCCTCCTCCACCGCCTCCTCCTCCTCCTCTTCCTCCCTCTCCTCCTCCTCCTCCTCCTCCTCCTCCTCCTCCTCCTCCTCCTCCTCCTCCTCCTCCTCCTCCTCCTCTCCTCCTCCTCTCCCTCTCCTCCTCCTCCTCCTCCTCCTCCTCCTCCTCCTCCGATTCCTCCTCCATGCTCCCCCACTTGGGGTATGACAGCTTCCCCAACCCCTTATTCCACGGCATGCTCCTCTACATCGCTGACCAGGGCAACTCGCCTGGGCATCGTTTCTGGAGGGGCTGACAGGGCTACCTTTTGGTACGCGGGCTCACGAAGCCAAGCCGAGAGCCGTGCAGGACGGGCGGACTCCCGATAGCTGATAGGGCTACGCGAAACGTCCAGACTATACCAGCGCCCATGCCGAACTCGATCTCCCAGGGTTGAGCAGGGACCGACCGTCCCGGCATTCCTATAGCCTACCACGACATGTTCTTGGAACCCACAAATGTTCCAAGAGCAAAAACAATGCTTTTAGAGCATACACCCCATGTGTTAAAACAAGACAACCCCAGCCAGAAATGTCCTAAGAATGTTTCGTGCAGACCACAGGAGGTTCTTAGAACATTCTTCGGTTGGCCTCTAGGCGAGCCAGGACGCTTCGCCACTGCTCTACTCGCCGAGCGCGTTCCACTACTCGCAAAGCACCTACTCGCAAACGCCCAGAAAAACCCCTGTCTGCTTTGCTGTAACTGATCATGGGATCCCCAGCGGGGGATCCAGGCCATTTGCGAGCAGTCACTCTGCGAGTAGTGGAACGCGCTCGTCGCTTGACAGGAGCTACGTCCTAACATCTGTAGCCCCGCGGGCCCTCCTGGGCACAGGCGGCGCAACGAATCCGCTCGCCCCTCGCCCGAGCACGGGCTCCGCGGGCCCTCGCCTTGGCCTGGGACCGTCACAAAAGAGAACAGCTCGGCAGAGGCCCAGGGACGCACCAATAAATGCACACAACTAACAGGATTCCCCCTATTGTCCCATATGTTCTGGGTTTTCGTCTTCCCCCACGCTTCCCACATTTTCCCATACTCTCCTGGGAGTCGACGATGAATTGTGTCGGTGTGTTTCTTTCCCTCCTGAAGCTCGGCATGAGAAACCAGCCCTGCGGAAAGGGTCTGGGCTTCTGGGGACTCCGTTCGGCGCTGACCCACAAGGCCTCGACCCAAGGATGAGGAGGAGGAGGAGGAGGAGGAGGAGGAGGAGGAGAAGGAGCCCCAGGAGATGGCCAAGGAGAGACCCGTTCCATCCTTTTCGGCGGTAGACAAACATCCCTTTAGTAAACCACCCTTTTGTGAAAACGGCCTAGGACCGAAACCGACGGACCTGGACCCGCAAAAACAACGGCCGCGACACCCTCTCGCGAACCGAAAACGGCCAATTCGCTAATCGACGTGTCAGGGTAGGAGGTCTATCAACCTCCGATCCGTAATGAACTAATCAGGACATCGCATGTCTGGGCCCTCGTCCACAACCCCTTCTTCCCCCGTTCGGGGAGGAGTTCACCACTGCTCCTTGCTAACATGCACCCCCTCCCCCACTCTTCCAGCCCCGACACCACTGGTTGCATCTGCCGTGGCAGGAAACAGAAGCAGCATACATAGAAGCAGCAGAAGCAGCGGCTGCATCGGCAGCTGGACCAGGAGCAGTAGTTCGTAGCGGAAGCAGCAGGGACGGCCACCAGCCCCCGTGGAGGGCTGCCGAGCGGCGAGAACCGCGACTCTGCCATCACGCAACACGCGAATGATTGTGACATACGAATCGACATATGCGGAGTCGCTTCGCTGCACCTCAATATTGGTGGGGCGTCGCTTAAACGGGGGGGCGATACATGGGGGGGGAGAAAGGGGCACTCTTCGGGCCCTAAATAGGCCCCATTGGGGGGCCCTCAAGGGCCCCGTGAGGGACCCTGAACGGTACCTTTTCTGCAGCCGTCGCTGCCCCATCTATCGCCCCCTCTTTACGCGACGCCCAGTGGACGAGGCCCTGCACGACACCAGGCGTCATCCCAAGGAGCAGCTCCAATCTGGCTGCACACATAGTAAGGAGCACTCCGTCCAGGGAGCAGCGGAGTGTCGCGTGGCGGGTGGAGAGCAACCGCAACGAAAACCACTATGATTCGGACGAGAGTGACGAGAGACGCGAAAACGATCAGACAAGTGTAATTGAGGAGGGCTATCACGGTATGCATGACACGCTGCCGTGGGACGCCGATTCGCCTGCATCTGCTGACGACACCCCAGGCCTTCGGACACAAGCGACGGAGCAACACGCTGACAGGCTCCCACTGGCGGCGTGTCATTGATACTGTTACGCCTTTCCTCCCGAGTAACGCTAGAAGGGGTAGGGGACGAGAAAACGGCATAAACATTATTTCTCGTAACTCCGCGCAGATTTCTTGGGTCGGCGCTGGACCCCACCCACCTGGCGCGCTCCGCGCGCCAGGGGCGGCGCCGGAAGCACCGCCAGGGGGCCCAGCGCCAGTCCAAGATATCTGCGTGGAGCTCCGATAAACCATGTTTATGCAATTGTTGGTGCTTCGAGGAGACAGTCCTCCTGGTCCCCGCCGCTGTCTTTGGCGCCTTACCCTCTTGTGGTGCCTTACCCTCTTGGGGCTGCGCGCTGTTTGCATACCGTCGTGCTCGCCACCTTGTTCTTGCAGCCGCAGCTCCACCAGTTCTGCTCCCATCCACATCGCTTGGTGGTATTTCTGGTCAGCGCACCTCGCTGATCTCTTTACGCTGAGTTGGACCAGCCATCCGAGAAGAACAAATTTCTCGAGGTCGTTGCCACCGAGCTTTTTTGTTTCTTCATACAAGGCAGCAGACCCACATCGCAAAGATCCGCTGCCCCTCCATGGGGGCTATCCCCAGCACCACGAACGACACGCCGAGCCGCGCCGAGAGCCTAAAAGACCAGCGATGAACCCAGACACGTCCATGCCGGACCTGTCCTGCCTGCGAGCGTGGCCGAAACTCTGTGCGCGAGTCCGAGCTTCTGAGAAGCCTCGCCGCCTCCTGCAGAGGCCTGCCCCCGCAGCGCTGCCCCCCCCGGGCGCGCCGGAGCACGGGGAGGAGGGGGAGAGGCCACCGGCCCGCCGCCGGCGCCAGGGCGACCCCCCCGTGGCGGGCAGGCCCCGCCTCGCCCCGACGCATCGCGGCAGCGCGGTCGGTGCCCCGCGGGGCGAGGCTGGTCCCCGTGGGGTGCCGCCACGGCTGGCAGTGTGCCGAGCCAGAGCGGCGCCGGAGGGATCCTGAGCGGGGCCGCATGCGGACCCTGCCCCTACCCCCCACGACTTCTGGGGGGGAGGGGTAGGGTTCGCCTGCGGCCCCGTAATCCTGAGCAAGCTCAAGGATGTGGCAAACGGAGCACCGCCACACTCTAGCCCAGAGCTGCCACCTAACTGCCCTACATGCTGCGCAGCGCCAGGCTCAGAGGGCACACTCTGGACCCCAGAGGTCCAGGGAGGGCCAACGGCACAAGACAGCGGAAGCAAAAAAAAATGCGGCGAGCAAGTCCCCGCTCGGAGACACGTCAAGCTGCCACGCTGGCAAGAGCAGATACGCTACTTGATCGTAGCCAGAGGGCCGAGGTCGGCCCCCGTGGGGGAGGGGGAGACGCCACTGGCGGTACAGCCACGGTGGTGCTGCCACAAGCAGATGGCAACCTCCAAACCCTACCCCCGCCAACCGCAGACTCTCCTGAATCGATGGGAGGCGGGGATAGGGCTCGGATTTCGCCACGTGCTCGACGACCTCGCGACCCTACTCTCAGGTCGGGCATGTCCCCCTGCAGGCGGATTTTGGACGACAAATGTAAAATACTCAAAAAAAGATACTCACACGAAAAATCCCCAATGGCCAAAAATAGTCCAACAATCGTCGCCTGAGTATTTTTTGACTAGTTTTGAATATCCCCCTATAGAGCGACAGTCCCGACGAAACACTACTCCCGCCGCCCATCGACTTGCCCAAATCGGTGATTGGCGAAGCAGAGACGAGGTCCGCCGTCCTCGTCCGCCTGCTTGATGTGGTAGAGGCCCAGGTACCGGCACAGCAGCGAGTGGGGAGCCTCTTCGAAGCGACGGATCATGTCGGGCAGCATGCGGATCAGCACCTCGCCCCACGAGCGAACGAACGAACGAATGGAGCGGCCGTCGCCGGGAGGGTCCAGCGTAGGCCCTCTACGAAAGGCGATGAATGCAGGGTCGCGTTGGTCAGCGCCGAGCGCTGAATGCGCATCAGCACCTCGGCGACAGGTGTCCCCAAGAGACAGGCACTCGAAACTCCTCCTGCGATCTGAGCGACGCAGTGGCTCACCTTGATGGACTTGGTGCCAAGGCGAGGCTGCACGCAAACCGCATGGCAAATCCCAGGGTGCCCTTCCCAAGACGCCCCTCCCCGGTTGCATCTGGCCGTCGGTGCCGTTCCCAAGACTTCCCTCAAAGGGTCGTAACAAGCCGACCTCTGCGCTCCGATTTCTGGCGGCTGGGCCGCTGCTTTGCGAGGGGCGACGCAACGGCGATGGGGATCTCAAGGCCAGGCTCCTGCCAGCATGGGGGGGGAAAACTCAAACTACGCTTGCGTGTTCGTGCGAGGAGACATCCCTGGACAGATGGCTCCCAACGGGACGATGGACGGTTTCGACTATCTTTCTGCGCCTGAGAGAGGGCCAGTTCGGCGCCGAGACGGCTTGCCCGCCACCGCGCCGTATGCATTGAGCAAAGTGTCTTCAGGCCCCTTCGATCTACCAGCACGGAGAGTGGAAAATACGCGTGAGAGCCCAGACCTCCCGAGTTCCCAAGCGCTCGGCCTCCCTCTCGGGGATCCCTGGGTGACCAACGCTTCTAGCTCTCCGCCCCAAGAGGCCTCCGGGAAGCAGCCCCCAAAAGGCCTCAAGGAGGCGACCAGGAGACCCTCAGGACGCCCAAGAAGGCCCCCACGAGGCGACCGAGAGGCTCCAAGAAGCCTCCAGACTGCCTCCAGGAAGCTCCCGCGGGAGGCCTCTCAAGAGACCCCGACGGGCGTACCTCTGGCTGCCTCCTTCGTCATGGGGGTCGTCTTCCGGGGGCGGCGGCACCGGCGGCAAGGCCTCCTCCAAGCGTCGTCTTCCGGGGTCGTCTTCTGGGGTCGTCTTCCGGGGGCGGCGGCACCGGGCCCAGACCCCCCGAGTCCCCAGGCGCTCCGTCGCGCTCTCGGGGATACCCGCGCGACGCTGCAGAGGCCTCCTGGAGCGCGGCCGAGTTCAAGCGCAGGCCGGCGGAAGCCGGCCGCGTGCGTGCCACACGCTGCCGGCCTCTGTCGGGCCGGGCGAGAGGGGGGGATAGCAAAGGGTGGGTTAGAGAAACAGCTCACGTAGCTGATCTTCCCGGCGCCTCCCAGCGACGGGAGGCGCCCACGTATCGAGGAATGGGCCCGGCGGCGGGGCCGACACCAGCTGCATGGGTTTCGTAACCCCCCCTTTCCCCATCCCCCCCTTTCGTTCGGCCCGACTCTGACAGACCTCGCCCCCGCCCGCCGCCACGGCTGTCCCGGCTCCCGCGGGGAGCCGCCGCGAAGGCCGCGGGGCGTCTGCCGCGCCGGCGCGGCGCGGCCCGCCGGGGCCGGCGGCCGCCGCCCCGGAAGCACGGCGGGAGCATCGGGGACGCGCGCGCGCAGCGACCCGGGTCCGCACAAGCCCTGGGTCGGCCCGGGCCCTGTCGCAAAGCCCGGCCTGCCCAGCGGGGGGCGGAGAAGGGAGGATCGGCCCCGCGTGGCCCCGAAACCCAGGTCGGCCAGCAGGGATCGGCTGGCCCACCTTGGCGCTTTGCCCCCGTTCTGCGCGCGGGCCCCCCGGGGAAACAACGGCCCGGGCGGCCCGTCCCGGGCCTCGGGCGCCTCGTGGGCCGTCTCTTGGAAGCACCCGAGGCCGGCCCGAGGGGTGAAAATCTTCCAAATCCCTCGGGTTCTGCTTGAGCTTGGCCTGCTCTGCGTTTCTATCTTCAGGGCGTCCGGGACAGACCAAGAGGCCCGCGTACTACCCCAAAATGGACGCCAAGGCCCCGGAGGGAGCCCAAGAGGTCAGCAAGACGGCGCCGAGATGAGCCCAGGAGATGGAGCCCGAACTGACATGTCGAGCCATTTCCCCCAAGATGGCCCCCGAGACCGCCAGCGGAAGGAGCCCCCAAAAGGCCATCAAGAAGCGCCCAAGAGGCCCCGAGATACCTATGAGAGACCTCCAATAAGCTTCCACGAGTCCCCCAAGAGGCCTACCCAGGGGGGAGCGAGGCAAAGGACGACGAGACGAATGCGGAGGAGGCGGAGAGGTGTGGGGGGCTCCCGAAGGAGGCGAATTTGTCATAATTCGCTGAAATCCACGAGGTGGCGGCGAACCGAAGGAGGAGGCGACGGAGGCGAAGGAGGCGAGGAAGACGAGGGAGGCGAAGGAGGGGGGAGGGGGAGGGGGGGAGGCGAGGGAGGCGAAGGAGGCGAGGGAGGCGAAGGGGGCACCTCCGCCTCCCGGCGGGTGATCGTCTTCAGCAGAAACCTCCGCGGTTCGCGACCGCGCTCGCGGAGCTCCAGAGCTTCCTCTCCCTCCTCCGCCTCTTCCTCCTCCTCCTCCTCCTCCTCCTCCTCCTCCTCCTCTTCCTCCTCCTTCTCCTCCTCCTCCTACTCCTCCTCCTACTCCTCCTCCTCCTCCTCCTCCTCCTCCTCCTCCTCCTCCTCCTCCTCCTCCTCCTCCTCCTCCTCCTGCTCCTGCTCCTGCTCCTGCTCCTCCCTCCCCCCTCCTTCTGGCGCACATGCACTCCACAGATCCCAACAACTCTGCAGCAGCGGGACAGGACAGAGCGCGGAGACAGGCATTGAAACGGACCAGGGCGGGAAGAGAGCCGAGCGACACAGGCGGAAGGGCAACAAGCAAAACAAGAGAGGAAGGCATGCGATGGCCAAAATGGCCGAGACCAGATCCGAGAGTGGGCCACCTGCTCCTCCTCCTCCTCCTACTCCTCCTCCTCCTCCTCTTCCTCCTCCTCCAGCCCCTCCTCATCCTCAGCATCATCATCATCATCATCATCATCATCATCATCAGCAGCAGCAGCAACAGCATCATCATCATCATCATCATCATCATCATCATCATCATCAGCAGCAGCAGCATCATCATCATCATCAGCAGCATCAGCATCAGCATCAGCATCAGCATCATCATCATCATCATCAGCAGCATCATCATCACCATCATCATTATCATCATCCTCACAACCACCACCATCATCATCATCATCATCATCATCATCACCATCATCAGCATCATCATCATCATCATCATCATCGTCATCATCATAATCATCGTCATCATCATCATCAGCATCAGCATCATCACCACCATCATCATCATCATCATCATCATCAGCAGCAGCAGCAGCAGCATCGTCATCATCACCATCACCATCACCGTTTCCGTCACCGTTACCGTCACCAGCATCATCATCATCATCATCATCATCATCAGCAGCAGCAGCAACAGCATCATCATCATCATCATCATCATCATCATCATCAGCATCATCATCATCATCGTCATCATCACCATCACCATCATCATCATCATCATAATCATCATCATCAGCGTAATCAGCACCATCATCATCAGCATCATCATCATCATCAGCATCAGCATCAGCATCAGCATCAGCATCATGATCATCATCAGCATCATGATCATCATCATCATCATCATCAGCATCATCAGCATCTCCAGCATCACCATCATCATCATCACCATCATCAGCGTAATCAGCATCATCAGTATCAGCAGCATTACCATCATCATCATCATCATCATCATCATCATCATCATCAGCAGCAGCAGCATCATCATCATCAGTATCATCATCAGCAGCATCATCATCAGGAGTATTATCATCAGCAGCATCATCAGCATCAGCAGCATCAGCAGCAGCAGCATCATCATCAGCAGCATCATCATCAGCATCATCAGCAGCAGCATCATCAGCAGCAGCATCATCGTCCTCCTCCTCCTCAGCATCATCATCAGCAGCAGCGGCAGCGTCATCATCATCAGCATCATCATCAGCATCATCATTAACATCATCCTGATCCTCAGGAGGTCAGTCCTCAGTGCTCTCCAGAGAGGCAAGCACCCCAAGACTGGGCAGTCCCTCACGGGGTGACTGATGGTCTGGGGGGTTAAATTTCCGTAGAGTGGTGTCTGTGAGCAGACGCTGTCTCTTCATCAGTTCCCCAGTTCTCCTGCTCCTCCTCCTCATCCTCATCCTCCTCCTGCTCTTGCTCCTCCTCCTCCTCCTCCTCCTCCTCCTCCTCCTCCTCCTCCTCTCCTCCTCCTCCTCCCAATCTCCCCTTCTCCACGCTCGCGGAGCTTCCGTGCCCTCCTCCTCCTTCTCCTCTTCCTCCTCCTCCTCCTCCTCCTGCTCCTGCTCCTCCTCCTCCTCCTCCTCGGCCTCCTAATGCTCGTCATCCTCCCTGCTCCTCCCTCCCACCCTAACGTCCTTCAGCGGATCTTGCCTTACCACCGCGCAGGTGTCGTGTTTGCAGGCTTCCAATAACTATTAGGATGGAGGCGGGCTCGTTTCCAAAACGCGGTTTTCGCCTTATCGCCGAGCACACTCGTATTAAAGCAAAGCAGTTGCACAACTGGAGTGCGGCAATGTTTCAAATGCGGCTCTCCCCGTAGCACCGACACTCGTTTTCAAGCTTTCAATGCCTACAAGGATGGAGGCCAATTCGTTTTCAACATGCGGCTCCCGCTTGAGACTTAGTTCCGATTGCGCAACAGCTGCACAGATGGAGGGCGCTTCCTTTTTCGAAAAGGGACTCCCGCTTGGTAATCCCTTGCATCTCATCGTGATACCTAATTGCATTTCCTTTGGACAATTAGGATGAAGGTGGATCCTTTCCAGAAAAAACGGGATCCTGCAGAACTAGATACCCGTAAGAACTTGCGAGAGGACTTGGGACGGAAGGGTGCCCTGCAGCCTCACTGATGCCCTCGTCTCGGGCGCACGCCAACATGGATTTCGGATCCGTGGCCTTGGCGCCATGGGCGCCAGATAAACGGATACAGTGGGAGGGCCCCCATGAATCATTGCGGGGCCCAAAGGTGTACACCACCACCACCTCCTTCATCCCCTCCCTCCCCCAGGAAGGAGGAGAGGAAGATGAGGGTGGAGGAAGATGGAGGCATCGACGTGGTGGTGGTGTACATTCTTGGGACCCGCCATCACGAGGCCAAGGGGTGGCCTCGTTTTGCCACGGGGCGCGCCGACTCTGCGGGGTAGCGGAACCGGTCGCCGATCCACGCGCCCTGAGCCATGCGTGCGCTTCGTCGATCCTCCTCCTCCTCCTCCTCCTCCTCCTCCTCCTCCTCCTCCTCCTCCTCCTCGTCGGCACCCTTCCCTCTTCCTTGCTGCCGGGCCCAGGGTAGGGCCCACCCTGGCCCTACCCGAGGGCCTACGGGAGGACCTACCCCAGCCCCACCCTGGCCCCACCCTAGGGCCTAGGGTATGGCCTATCCTAGGCTACCTAGGGCCTGGGGTAGGCCCTGGGTAGGGTCGCCTACCCCCCCCCCCAGGTCTATGCCCGAACAACCTCCACTCTCGTCGGCCCTCTTTCCCCTCTGCCCCATCTCTCGGCTCTCAAATTCCTCTTGCCTCGCTCCCCGGATGCCGGGGGGGCTGCTCTCCACGGATCACCGCCTGGAGGTTGGGCAGGCTCATCTCGTCGCCGCATCGTGGAGATCAGCGAGCTTCGATTTAAGTCCCGTGGCCCTCAGAACGCATGCTACCGTCAGCGTGTGTCTGCCGCCCGAGGCACGCCCTGAGGGCCATCGAAGAGCACGTCTTCGCTGCCGCCTCCCACGTCCATGGTTCGGGGAGACGTGAGAATCAGGTCTGGGGGGCTCGGGCTGGCCTGACGGCGCCGTCAGGTAAACGACGAGTCCTTGGCTGGAATTTGACGCGAGCCCCCGCTGCAGACATCCCACGAATACTGGACCGTCAAGATTTAGGACGGGCCCGTCAAATAGCGTCGGCTAACCTGACTTCCGACAAACTGGGAACGAGGTAGAAGGCGGAGGCCTTCCGTGACCTTGCTCCCCCTCCAGGCCCATGCCATAACATCCTCGACACACACACACACACACACGCACACGTGTTTCCTCCGCTGGCCAGGTGACGTCACCACAGCGATGATAGCATGGGGCACAAACTAGTTACACACGCTCACACACACACACACACACACACACACTCACACACACACACACACAGCCAACCGCGAACGAACTTAGTCGAACGCACCGTGATAAAAGAATCCAGCCACGGCCATGCATATTGGTGGTGGGAAACATGAAGCACTTCAGAGCCAAAATGCAACGGCCAACCACCCCGCGGAGCGAAGGCCCGACGCCACGAGTTGAAGCGCAAGCAGCAGTCTGGTGCGAAGTAGCCACTGAGGCCGAGAAGAACTGCAAGGCTGTCAGACCAGCCAGCTTGGCGGCGACATGAACACACACACACACACAGGCACGCGCGCGCGCACTTTGAGCGTCGCGGGCGGGGAAAAACAAACCGCACGGCCGATCGGTTGTTGCCTCTCTGGGCTGACGCCGGGCTCCGCAGGTAAGGGGAGCCTCCAGGCCCTCACGGGGCTGTGGCAGGGCCAGCCAGCGCAGCGAGGCGGCGGCGCCAGCGGGCCGGCGCGCCAGGCGCGGCGAATGGCGGCGGGCAGGGCGGAGGACGGCGCCGCTGAGCGGGCGGCGCCGGGCGGCGAGGCAGCGGCGGGGGTTGGCAGGCGCGGGGGCGGCGAGAGAGGCGTGCGGCCAAAACGCGCGCGCACACACGGACCGGGACACGGAGTTGCGAACTAGTCCGCATGCAGGAGGGGAGGGAGGAGGCGACAGGGGCGGCCACAGAGAAGAGGCAGGGCGCGGGGGAACTCTCCACGGGAAGTGACACCCACGCACACACACACACACGTACACACACACACTTTTCAGCCGACGCGCCGCTTGGTCACAAGTTGCGATAGACAGATCACGCGCGGCGGGCCGCGCTATGCAACTATGACCCACCCTTGTGGACACGTGCACGCAACAGTAATCCCTAACGATTGCTGGGTATCGCCGACCATTAGGCTTTACAGCGCAAGTGTTTTTGGGGGAAATGACCAAAGAGAAAACGGGAGACACAACACGTGGGTAGGAGAAGGGCGGCAAAAAGAGGGCCAACGGCAAGCCCAAAGGCGCCGCGGACAAAAACTCACACGCGCACACACACAAACACACATGGACACCCACACACATATACACTCGCAGACATACATACATACATACATACATACATACATACATACATACATGCATGCATGCATACAAACGTACGTACGCACACATACATACATACATACATACATGCATGCATGCATGCATGCATGCATGCATACATACATACATGCATACATACATACGTACGTACGTACGTACATACATACCTACAGACAAACATA